TTCTCATTACTGCTAACGTTTCTCAAACTGTAAAGCAGGAATTTAGCGAAGGGGCAAGTAGCCCAGGATATTTTAATCGCAACCGTAATTTGGAAGATCAAAATGATTTGAAACGAGAAGAAAATATCTTGTGCAAACGTTCAAAAGAATTCCCGCATACTCTGCTACAATATACTTTAAAAGATTTTAAATGTGATCAGTGTGATTGGGAAACCAGTTCTAAATCTCAATTAACGAAACATCTGATGACACATAAAACGTCCAAAGAGTTCAAATGTAATCAGTGTGATTATTCAACCAATTTCAATTATATTCTAACAAGACATCTCTTAACACACGAGAGTTTTAAAGAATTTCAATGTGACCAATGCGATTATGCAACTAATATAGAATCTTATTTAAAGAATCATCTGTCAGCACACAAGATCTTAAAGCGCTTAAAATGTACTCTGTGTAATTACGGAACCAACTTTACCTCTGCGTTTAATAGACATCTATTAACTCACAAGACGTGTAAGGAGTTAAAATGTACCCAGTGCGATTACGCAACCAATTTAAAATCTTCTCTTAATAGACATCTATTAATCCACAAAGCATCTAAGGATTTAAAATGTACCCAGTGCAATTATGCAACCAATTACAAAACGGCTCTTAATAAACATCTATTAACACACATACAGCCCACACAAAATGGAAATTGAAGAATCATGCACAATTCTAATGTCGAAACTCAAGACTTCTTAACATGTGCCTAGTGCTTTCAACCTATTTTAAACACTTGCAGTACTTCCACGTATTTTAATTTTACACAGTGTAATTACGCAACAAATCATAAAAACTGTTTAAACACAAGACTTCCAAAGATGTAAAATGACACACAGTGGTAATTACACGCAACCAATTTTATAAAGCACTTTAAAATAGACATTTATTAAAACACAAGATTTCTACAGATTTAAAGTGTGCGGATTGTGATCACTCAACCCATAGGAAATGCAGCTTTCAGATACATCTGTACATGCACATCTGTTAACCCATAATAATTGAAGTTGCAATATGCGTGAATATAAAATGTAACTGCAAAAGTACGGGGTACATTGCTATTAAATCTATTCAATCAGCAAAAGCGAACATGACAGAAGAAGTGAGAAATCATGCCAATGAAAGTGTTCAAATTTGGAAAAAAGTCTGCCTGATTTTTCGATTCTGAACAAAATTCCTTATTAATCTATGTGTGTAATATTATATTGTTGTGAATTTATTAATAGTATATTTCGTTGTAACATGATAAACCTGGTACATATTTTTTAAACATTCTTCTTTTATCGTGTGTCTCGGGGGGAACTCGCCATCATAGGGTAACAGCATTATAATATTTTTTTTTGTGAAGGATCATACGTTGAACACTAATTTCCAAGGCCTCTTGGATCCTTCTCAAAAAAATACATTACCTAAAGTCACTAAATATAGAAAGTAAAGTCACTAAATATAGAAAGTACCGCAATCCATTGGGCTCGTGTGTTAGAGAGAGAACGCATGATTTTTGCCCAAAAATGGCGGAAGTTACCAGATTCTAGTAACTTTAATGTTAGTGATTGTTCCACCTGTTTGGAGATATCTGTATATATTTTTATAAAACATGACAGTACTATGAAGTTAGGTTATAAAAAATGACAGCTATTCAGATTTTATTTGTCAATTTTTTTAAGTTGGCAGCAAATTTGCCCAAAAATGGCGGATGATTGCGGTACTTTCAGAGACATGGAGAGAGGAGATAGCGCATGAAACTGCGCGAAGTGACAAAACAAGGGGGCTGCCATTTTGACACCCATTGAAGCGCGAAATTTGAACAGGACTATAAAGGTTTACTGACGCAACCCAGAGACATCTAACGCAATCTTCATACACTACACTCTATTCGGCAGCAGCTCCGTAGGAAGAAACTAATATCTCAATCCAAATGAACAAAAGAAAATGCCAGTGACGTTGACGTTACAAAATAAACACTTAAACCTCGAAAAAAGCTCTCCTAAACACGAACACAGGCTAAAATAACACCACTATAAACACAACATGACACAACGGGTGTAAAAATGGCAGCGCCCATGAGGTCGCACCCTTTCTTGGATGCGCACTCGTCGATCAGCGATCTCCTCTCTCCATGTCTCTGGGTACTTTCTATATCTAGTGACTTTAACATTACCCTTCTCCTATGGTGCGTTCTACTTGGGACACACTGTATGTACTAAAGAGTATATATCAATGGGTGAGTTCCTTTAGATCATTCATATAACAATATGTGAATGTATATGTTCTAAGGTGCGTTCACCAGAAAAAAAGGCCCCTGGTTATCAATGGGCTAAGTGGTCTAGAGCCCAGAGCGCCACTTTCGGGAGGCGGCATGATGTGCTAAATTATCTTTTCTTTTTTTTCATTATTTGCAATTTAGATCTGGGCTTGTGGGTAATTTTTGTAAAAGTAAATGTGGAGAACTCAAAATACCGGTCGGACTGCGCGACCTCTGTAAAATACTACAACCGCTCTCATAAACGGCGCGGTCCAGAACGCTCTTTGTTTGACAGGTACAATACATCCCAGAACAAACATCACTGGGCGCACACCGAAGACCGCGCTCAGTCTGGTGGGGCCTTTATACTCAAAAGCGGAAAATAAAAGCTAACTGTATAATTTGGCAACGCTGCATTTGAGAATTGAGTTGAGAGTACCTATCTTCACATGGTATTGAAAGAACTTGTGATGTGATCAGACTCTCTCCATGTCTCTGGATGTGATAGATTTTAGGTAGTATTTACCTTCTCCTTACATTTGCTTTTGCATTAAAGTTTTTAAGCATAAGACCAAAGCTCAAAATAAACGATATTTCACTCAAATTCACACAGGTCCAACTTCCACTGAGCATTCGATTTTGTTTGATTACTGAATTACCATTGGAGGAATGATAAACTTGAATTAGTCCAAGTCCTGAGACTACCAAATGTTACTTTTTAATATTTTATTGGCATCTTTAAAGCTCTTATTGGCACCTGCAAATTGGCCGTTGGCCCAAGTTAACAAGTATGCTTATGTTCCCTCTACTTATAACAGTAGATACTCTTTATTCCTAGAAAGTAAGTAATGTTTGGCTGCCCTAGGATTTCACTATGTATTGTTTGATACCAAAATAGATTTTTATCACATTTATTTGTAATGTTGTTAGGTATGGATGCAGACAATGCCACACTACTCATTAAAATCGAACCAAAACAAGAAGAAGAAATCCATTCTTTTCTTCAGGGACACATTTCAGTAACCAACGAAGTTTTGGTGACAGTAAAGGACGAAGTTACATCTTGTTCTAAATCTCTTTATAATGAAAAACTACAGCAACACGCCAACTTTCAACGTCACCTTTTAACTCAGTGTAAAACAGTATCTGAAGATTTTAAATGTACTGATTATGAGACAAATTATAAACACAACTTTAAGCAACATCTTTTAACACATTTTAAATGTGCTGATTGTGATTATGGGACAAATGTGAAACGTAACTTCAAACGACATCTTTTAAAACATAAAATTTCTAAGGATTTTAAATGTGCTAATTGTGATTATAAGACAATCAAGAAAGAATATCTTAAAACTCACATTTTAACTCACACAGTGTCTAAAGATTATAAATGTCCTAATTGCCATTACAAGACAAATAATAAAGCCTACTTAAAACGACACTCCTTAATACATAAAATTTTAAAAGATTTTAAATGTGCTAATTGTGATTATGGGACAAATAATAAACGCAACTTCAAAAGACATCTTTTAAAACATGTAGATTCTAAAGATTTGAAATGTGCTGATTGCCATTACAGTACAAATGATAAACCCAACTTCAAACAACATCTTTTGAAACATAAAGTTGCGAAGGATTTTAAATGTGCCGATTGTGATTATGGGACAAATGATAAACGTGTCTTCAAACAACATCTCTTAACCCATAAAGTTTCTAAAGATTTTACATGTACTGATTGTGATTATATGACAAACAATAAATATAACTTGAACCAACACATTCTAAAACATAAAATTTTTAAGGTTTTTAAATGTGCTGTTTGTGATTATGGGACAAATGTTAAAGGCAACTTCAAACAACATCTTCTAATACATAAAGTTTCTAAGGATTTTAAATGTGCTACTTGTGATTATGGAACAAATGATAAACACAACCTCAAACAACATCTTCTGAAACATAAAACTTCGAAGGATTTTAAATGTACTATTTGCAATTATGAGACAAATTATAAAAGCAACTTAAGACAACATCTTTTAAAACATATAGGTTCTAAGGATTTTAAATGTGCTAATTGTGATTTTGGGACCAAAAGTAAAACCTATCTTAAACAGCACCTTTTAAAACATAAAAGAGTGTAAAGTGATTATGCGATAAATAATAGACCTGACTTTAAACAACACTTTTTGGGATACATTGAGCATTATCTTCCAGTGCACCTGAGCTGATGCTCTCATTGAAAGGAACAAATTTAACAACTACACTATGGTAGAAAAATGGTTGAACTTGTTGTCTGCTGTTTGTCACTAGGCCCATACACTGAAAGGGTCCTAACTCAGCTCCTCAGCACCTACTACACTACTACACTAAATGTATTATAAGTAAATCTAGATTACAACAAAATAAAATGTATGCATAGCAGTCATAACATAATGACATTACATTGCAAATATTTATTCATTTTTAGGATAAACCACTTGACTGGACTACATCTCACCGGCACAAAGGGACGAGTGGCCCAGAAGGGCAGGTTAGGATTTACGCATGATCCTTTGGTAATTGATGAGAACTCGTGTTTGACTGCAGCATTTAAGAGTCTTTGGATTCCTAGAGCAGGTACATTATGTGTGATTCTATACTTCGAGCAGAAATACTGTGAGATTCTACATGTGTATGCATCAACTTATTGAAATAATTTTGAATGAAACGCCCTGTATCTTTTTACACCTTTTATATAAAATAACCCAAAACATTATTTCATTTGATTTTTTAAATCATTTTACATCGAACTTGATTTCCATTAACCAACAGCATCGCTCAGCCTTAAATGATTGCACTGTAGTTTGCTTTACAATATACTAAAAAAAAATGACGTCATCTGCAAATAACATAATATCAGAAAATACGCACCGATAAATTCAGATACCGGGTCATTTTCGCCATCTCCTCTCATGGTTCCTGTTATCTCATCGTTCTCCACCATCGGCATAAATAGGTGAACAAATTCGGAACTATACGGCGGACCAATAGCTTCTAGTACCTGCACGAGAATTTTTAACAAACCACTTCACTTCAAATTAGAGATTACCTCTGTTACAAAATATCTAATTAGCGATATATCTGTATCCCCTTTCTGCCAACATTGCTTAATGTATTTAACAACAGGAACCACACATCCGGCGCATAGTAAACTGACCATACGATCTAGGACCATTTTCCTCATTTCCAACTAAAACAACTACGTCTTGATTTCTTTTCACAAATCATTTTTGTAAAGGACATGGCTAGAAGACCATGAGGCATGTTTCCTCAATTAAATGATACACTAACTGCCAATAAGTCCTAGTGATTGCCCAACTGCCAATTACTGCCATTGACAAATATTTATAACTCTTTTAACACAACAATATCTTAAATTATTAACAATAATGAGGACCTACACGATTTGGATATTATGAAATATACGCGTGGGAAGGGGGCCCTCGGACTGTAACTGTTCCACTCGCTCATATTCGTCAATTAGTCTGAAATGTAATTGTGTCGTATACAGTATCGGCGACTCAAAATTCGAACTTTAAACTCAGAATTCTGACTTTAAACTTAGAATTCTGACTCCGAATTTTGACTTAGAACTTAAGACTTCCGGGTTTAAATTTAAACTCAGAATTCTGAAATCAAAAGTTAGAATTCAGAGTAAAGTCAAAATTCTGCGTTTAAGTGAGAATTTTGAGTTTAAAGTTAGAATTCTGAATTTAAACTTAGAAGTCTGAGTTTAAACTCACCATTCTGAGTTTAAAGTTAGAATTCTGAGTTAAAATTTAGAACTCTGAGTTTAAAGTCAGAATTGTGAGTTGAAAGTAGTCGTTTTTTTTTTGTATAGATGGCCCTTCTAAGCCTTCGTATACTGCGCAAGAGCAGTTTAGAATGCCAAGGGGCCGCGAAGTGTATTGGACACGAATTCTGGGGACAGGCTGTATCTTGCATAGATACAGTAGGTATCCTCCTGTAAAAGAGCTTTAGAGAGAGCGATTTGAATTTTCTGATTGGTTACTATCACTGAAACTGTACATGGAATAACAACATATAAATTGTACGTCGACAAGAGAGATACAGCACAAAAGTATGTAGAGTCTTGAATCAGAACATGTTGGCGACATAATACTGCTTTCCATTTGAGTGAAAGAGGAGCTCTGAGCTGTACCGTACACGATGCCCCGTGTTCCTTTTAAGAAAGCTTCAAGCTCTGACGCGCTCGAAATTGGATTTCCCTTGTCCCTTCATGCACCACCTATTTGCTTGGGGCTTGAAACACTTTTGTGGTTATTTACGTACTGTGAATATCAATTCAAATGTGTGCAAAATGAACAACTTGCAAAACGAGCTGCTCCGAACGAACTGCATCAGAGCTTCACGCACTCAAATGGAAAGCAGTATAAATAGTGTAATTGCATCGCTCCATCCATGTTTATATGATCTAAGATTCCAAGTGCCTATGTAATCAAATTTCGTTTAAAATCTTCCATAAATAAAAAAAGTGGCATTGCGCATGCGCAAAACCAAATTTTGAAAGTGGCGTTTGATTTTCATTTATTCCAAGTGCCTATGTATCAAATTTCATTCAAATACTTTTATAAATAACAAAGTTTGCAATTCGGTTCATAAATGGTCGAGATGCGAAAAGGGCACTGTGAATTTTGAATCGATTCAACTCAACTTTTGGCTAAAGCTATGCCCATATTGAATTTCATGCAATTCAGTTCATAAGTAACGGAGATCTAAAAGCGATCGGATATTTCTAACAAAGTTATCGTTCACAAGGACAGATAGAGGGAGAGACAGACAGACAAAGGGACAGACCGACAGCAATACAAAATTATAAACGATCTCTAGGATCGTTAATAAACGGCAAAAGTGTAAAATTATGGAGCATGTAAAAAACGGGTTTTTGGTTTTTTTACAATAACTTTTTTAGCAATAAACGCAGAAAAAATTCCTTCCTTGGTGCAAGCCTCGAGACCATAACGAACCAAATAGCGAAAAAAGTAGAACAATAGCTCTTAAGATAAAGAACTAGTAGCCTCTCAACGAACGAGCGGACAGACAGCTGGACGGACGGACAAAGTGGCCACAATAGCGTATTTTATTTTTATTTTTGTGGAAATGCGCTAAAAACACGCAGCACTCCAGAAATAGAAAGTAAAGTAAAAGGACCTACGCGTCGCACGTCATTCATAATAACGTATATGTGTTCTATTTGGTACCTAGTTTAGAGTGAATTTGAAAAATAGAATAAGTCGTCAATCAATCTGTGCGTTTGTATAGCGATAAATTTCCCGTTGAACCAACGCACTGTATTAAAGTTTGAATTCTACAATTGTTGGATTATTCTTCGAACCTCGGATGCAACTGCACCGGGTAGGAGCAGTGAAACCCACGTTACAACAGTATTATAATTTGTTCGTTCATATGTTTAATTGAAATACAGAAATATGTTTAATGTTCTTGCCTTTGTATATGCCAGCATTATCGATTCTTGTTCGTAAGATGCTCCCTATATTCATCCACGAAAACAACTTTTCATATTCTTTATAATAGACTTTACCACATTTGTGTTTTGCACCTACCAACTTTTCTTCTGCTTTTGCAACAAGCCATTGAATGGACGGTATATTATCTTTTTCAACCGAAAGTCATTTTATTTACAAAAACGGTGATTTTTATAAGCAAACGTCAAGTGACATTTCTATGGCAATCATGGAATCGCGAATGTACAGTCCACTTATGACTTAATTAGACATGCTTTCCAGTAAGTATAACGTCAATGCGATTTTATTTTATTTCCCTTATTTTTAAATTATATTGCAGATATAATAAACAAATAGGTACTATAAAAACACTTCTACAAATGGTCTTTAAAGTACTTGCAACGTTTAAAAACACACTCTGCTACGCGTCGTGCCATTAAACTCGTTGCGCCTGGTTCAAAGACCATTTGTCACCATTTTACACTTAAGCAAAGATTGTTGTTAGTTAAAACGTATTTCGCCTTGATCGAATGTTTAGTTATATAACAAAAAAATCTTTAGAATAAAAATCATTCCTGAAGCCAGCCCTGACATCTCAAAAAATTTGATATTTCCACGCCCCCCCCCCCCCCAACTTTTGCAAAACCGGAAAGGTGATATTCCAAGGCTTAAGTGAAGGTGTTCCTCTGATTATTATTACTTTTGGTTCCATCCAGTTATTTAGTACTAAATACGAGACTAATTTTGAAAAATTAAAAATTTGATCATTTCAAACCATCTGTCTTTCAGCATCATCTCAAAATGAAATAAAAATATTTGAAACGAAAGAAAGACTGTTGATCTATCAACGATTTCATTACCTGCACTAAAATTTCCAACTCGTCCTGTTTCGACTCGAAAAGTCTAATTAACAGATCCAAAACCTGATTATGAAGGAGCGCATGGTTATTAACAACCTCGTCTAACATCGCCATGTGCAATGGGCAATGCTCCGTTGACAGTTTAAAGTAGCTCGGCTCCGTCACGGTACATTCCACCCATCTAACAATACCCACGGCGACGACAGGAAATCTGGAAGACACCGTAACACTCGACATTGCCAGGTTTTTCAAATTACCTCAAGCACTGATACAGATTCGCCAACTCGGCCATTAACTCCGAACTGCCCTTATTTATATTACACACATTGTGGACGGTTTCGATGGCCTGAACCGTCGGTTTGAGATCTTCCTTGTTCAGGCAGCGTTTCTGTCCTTTTTTTACTTGCGCTTCCCACACGCTCGCCGCGTAGGCCAGGAGGTAAATGTACTTGGGTTTATGCTCGGGATTTAGTTTCACCCCGCTTTTAAATAAGGAGTCAATCAGTAGTTCTAGAAACTGAGGAGTTCGAATGAGATCAATTGGTGGTGGATCTAAAGCGGAATAGTTACGGAAGAGAACCGATATATCGGCAGGATTTAAAGTATTTCTGCACAACATTGAAGTCAGTGCCTGACAAGCCTGTGGGTACGCTGATGCGCCATTTAATGCCATTGTGATTGGAGTGATATCGTGCCCGCTGTAAGATTCACTTTTGATTGAAGAGGTCAGATCAAACTTACACACCTTTTTTGAGCACACTTTGTTATTTCTTGTGAAAGTCTTTTCATGCTACTGCCACCTTTCGGTTCTCTTGCTAAGACATTCATGATAACTTGACTGTACACGTACGTGTGTTGACCATGACAAACCATTTTCTGAATGTACCTGCATTATACACTGCTTACAAGTATGACAACTTACAGCACATTCCCTACTAGTTTTCTGCCACTCTTCCGGGTTAGTCAGAAAACTTCCAATAGACGTTTTTAGTACCCTTGAGAATACTTCTAACTGTTGAGCTGCCGTAGATATGCTAGTAATTTCACCTTGAAATCCTGCATCTGAAATAAGCTAAAAGTAACCCGTAAAATAAGAATCAAATACATATAAAACCGCTTTACCTTTATAGTGAAATTTAACATCAAGCAATCTGGATATTCTTCGGCTAATCGATATATAAGCGATCGCCAAGTTGGATGTTCTATTAATTCTGTTAACCAGGCAGGCGTTTCTCCCTCCTCAGTGAAGATGGTGTCGGCCTTTTTCGGATCAAACGTCCTCAGAATCATATCTTTGAGGTGATTTTCGACCATGGCTTGAACATCTTGAACTTTCACGCCGGCTACAATAAGCCACTCGGCTATAAGGTTGGCCATTTGTGCCACCGCCGTGTAATTGTGAGATAATTGCTCGATGACCTGCACGGGGTTGCCACCCGATTGGAAATATCTAAACTTTACAGATAGAGATTGAGTCAACTCGAACTGTCTACCTTTTGAGTTGAGAAAATATTCCTGGTTCCATGATATAATCGGGCGTCGCGAATTTTTCGGCACACTCTGCCAAAACCTGTTCCGGATTTTCGACATGTTCCTCTCCACCATCGGACTATGTGTTAATAATTATTAATAATAATAGGTAAACAATTCTAATTACCTCATCTTCCATGGGATCCGGTCTGTCCCAATCGGCTTCGTACTCCTCATCCATATAAAAAGATGTTAATACAATAAGTCTACAAAAAGTTTGCTTCAGAAACTTCTCTTACTAGAAATTGCGACCTAGTAGGTCATAGTTTTCTTAAAAGATCAATAAAAATTTGAAATTAAAATTGTTATAAAAGGGGTTAGTTAAATAACTGTGAAGTTAGTGTAGATGAAAAAAAAATATGCACATAGCCGCATTCATGCGTTCCAGTTTCCAGTTCCGTTTCGCAGTATACAGAGCGTACGAACATCGACATATAATAAACATAGAAATGGACTGCGCGTACCAATGCTAAAGACAGCTACAGACTGTGCGTGGTGCATGAAGTGAATTCATTGTGTGTAGGGAATAGTGTGTCTCTATATATCTAGTGCGTACGCAATGGTGTACGACAATTCGCCTCAATGGGATTGCGCATGATGTGTATATATCGTGGTGCCCGTATAATTTTTTTAATTCAGAGATATAGACAGGTATGTCCATTTCATTTTTACAAACAATTCAAAAATTTCCATGTCTATGGAATCCGTCCACTGCGAAAAAGAAAACGCATACAATCCACACTGCTGTGGCAGTGCGACTAGCACAAGCGCAATAGAGAGAGAGCACTTTGCTTCTTAGTTTTCCCCTCTCGCTCACCTGCAGTATCCGCGCTTAGCAATGGCACGCGCTGTCGATGGGCATGAAGCGAAAGGAGCGTCAACATAACCTCTCAATTTTGTACATGTTAGCTGGTCAAATACTAAATCAAGAAAATGTATGGAAATATTCATTGTAGGCATAAATGATGTCCTAATTATCTTTAAGGACAAATCGCAAGCCAAAACAGTCAATCAGAGAAGACACAAAGGCTAATTTTTAGGTTAAGATAAACGCGACCACATGATCACGTCTATTGAGTGTTTTGAGTAAGGACGTTAAAAATCCCAACGGTCTTTGGTTTGAGTTAACTGCTTTACTCTTTTGTATTAAAAAAAAACGTACGGTGTCAACACTTTTTCTAGTGCAGCAATAAACGAACGTTTAAAGGTCATAATTCTCCGTTTATACGTTTCCGTTTGTGCGTCAATCAATCAGAAGATCTTTAAATCGTACGTTGTCCGTTTATGACGGAAAAGTTGATTTAATTTGGGAGATCCGTTTTTAACAAGAGTAACGCACAGTAAGGTTATGTTTGTTACATTAACAGTGTTCGCCTATTACCTTCTTTACGGTGATAATCAGATAGTATGATGTTCTTACTTTCATACATTTCACGTACTGAAGATCATGGTGGGTACAGTACAAAATAAAATTTAGGATATGGTGGTATATCTTGCAAACATTGAACTAGGCGAATACTGTTAACGTACCAAACATAACCTCACTCTTGTTAAAAACGGACCAACGGAAACGTAAATGTTCAACTTCAACCAACTTTTCGTCGTAAACGGACGACGTACGATTTAAAAATTTGCTGTCTTCTGATTGGCTAACGAACAAAACGGAAACGTATGAACGGAGAGCTATGAACTACCTTTATGTACTACATCCGTTTGACGGACCAACGCAACGGATAAACGGAGAGCTATAAACCCACCTTTAGAGCAAAAAAAAAGTGGTCAGAACGCATAGAATGACGTACCTATTCATCGTGTCTCTAGTAGTCATATATATACGCTAGTAGTTCACATTCGAAATTAATAGCGTTTTCGATTGGCAAAACTCGTACTGCACGAGTGTTGCACGAGAAACTGAAGAATCCATGTGAAAATTGCTCTCAATGGAACATAAATATTCGTAAATATTTGTTGTCATTTGTCCATAACCTCATTTTAGATTTAGGTAATCGACAAATCTCTATTCTAAAAAATGACAAACGATTTCAGTATTATTTATGATAAACGATGAGAAATATAAATTTGAAATACCTGTAAAGGGCCAATTTTTGGCGTTCAGTTTAATGAGTAAGTGCAACTTTTTGTAAAATAGAAGTTATGGCTAGTTCATCATCTTCGCTATCGCTAGATGACGACAAAAAACTCTCCCAACGCAAGAAACAAATTCAAATTGTCGCACGTTTGTTTTGAAAATTTGTTAACTAGCAGCTCCACGAGCTCTCGGACCTCGTGCGTCGAAATTTGCACTGAGTGCGTAATTGTTGCATCACATTTGCCAATGGAACACAGAAAATTGCCCTAAAATTACCAATAGAACCAGAGACATGGCCATGTCTCTGAATAGAACGTAAAAATTGCACTCTTGCAGCACGAGTTTTGCCAATCGAAAACGCTATAAAAAATTGGGGAAAGGGTTTCGTAACGCATGCGCAGTGTATGGATCGTCCTGGACGATTTAGACCTAAGTACACGTGGTGATGACTGATAAGTACATATCCGAGATTTTTCTATAGTTGGTGTTGATTAGACCCGACTTGTACCTCGTATATGTGAAGATGTCTGCAATTGTTAAAGTTGAACCTAAAAAAGAAGAAGAAATAAGTGCATACCTTAACGAAAATGTTTTTCTTACTAATGATGTCTCGGCAACTATCAAGCAAGAATCTAAAGAAATCATGAACAGTGCGAATTATTCTAATGACAGTAATGAATTGCACCAGGAAGAATCCATGTTTAAAAATCATCTATTAACACACAAAACTTCAAAAGATAATAAATGTACTCGGTGTGACTTCACAACTAATTATAAATCCTGTTTAGTACGACATTTGTTAATACACAAGACATCTAAAGATTTAAAATGTAGCTACTGTAATTATGCAACTAATAGTAGTGTAAATTTAACAAACCATCTATTAAGACACAAATCCTCGAAGGATATAAAATGTGCACAGTGTGATTATGCAACTAACAGTAGTGCATATTTAACAAAGCATCTGTTAATACACACAATTTCCAAGGATATAAAATGTGACCAATGTGACTTCGCAACTCATTATAAATCTAGGTTAAATAGACATATCTTAATGCACAAGATATCTAAAGATTTAAAATGTGCTCAGTGTGACTACACAACTAATTGTAAATATAGTTTAAAGAAACATCTGTTAATACACATGACATCTAAAGATGAAAAATGTGCTCAGTGTGACTATTCAACCATTTGTAAATATAGTTTAAAGAAACATCTGTTCATACACAAGACATCTAAAGATTTACAATGTGCTCAGTGTGACTACTCAACAAATTTTCGATATAGTTTAAAGAAACATCAGTTAACACACAAGTTTTCCAAAGATTTAAAATGTGCTCAGTGCGACTACTCAACCAATTTTAAAAATAATTTAAAGCAACATCTATTAACACACAAAATTTCTAAACATTTCAAATGTGCCCAATGTAAGTATGCAACCAACGGTAGTGCCAATTTTAAAAGCCATCTGTTAACACACAAAATTTCTAAGGATATAAAATGTAACCAGTGTGACTACAGAACTCATTATAGATCTAGTTTAAATAGACATATCATATTAGTACACAACACATCTAATATCTTAAAATGTGCTCAGTGTGATTATTCAACCAATAGTAAATTTGTTTTAGGGAGACATCTGTTTATACACAAGACGTCTAAAGTTTTAAAATGTGCTCAGTGTGACTACTTAACCATTTGCAAATCTAGTTTACGAACACATTTGTTAATACACAAAACATTTAAAGATTTAAAATGTGAACAGTGCGACTACTCAACCAATCGTAAATCTAGTTTAGTCAGACATACGTTAGTACACAAGACGTGCAAGATCTAAAATGAGCCCATTGTGAGTCCTCCAGTCAGTGGACCTCTAATTTGACCGTTGTGGTTTCGGAGATCCCCATTATAAACATCCTTATCTTGGACTGAGTCTACGCCAATAAACAACCTGTGGCATGCATTACCTCGAATTGATCTACATGTATAGTAACTATGGTACATTTTATAGCGGAAATATTTATATATGGAAAATTATATATTAGTTATTAAATTCAATTGCTATTATTATACTTACATAGTATGTATCTACATATTCTGTAAAATTCCATACATATGTAAATTGCATTAGAGGGAATTATTAGACAAAACTCTAAAAGATTTTGGAGTTTATAAGATCTTTGATTGGTGAACATTTGGAAAATGTAATTCTTGCTGGCGAAGGAGATGATGAAATGGGGTTAGTAATAATGGATAATTCAAGTGATCGTGATGAAGTAGGCAACCAGGACTTCCTTTTGACTTATTAAATTCGTTATCAAATGAGATGAGGCGGTCCAAAATTTTAGATTTACAAGAGAGCATCTTAAGGTAGGTTAAGACACCTCCTCATACCTAAAACAATTGTCACAAATGCTGGAAATACCTACCGTAGATGGTAAAGTACTTAATATTAACAGAAAACGGCTATTATGTCCCTTTTCTGGGATTATGTATTGTAGGTATGTAGCGTTTTATTACAAAATACAGGAAAAGGAACTATTTTTTATTTTGAAATATAAACAGAATGCCAATTATTAATTATTCAATTTGTTTCACCTAGACAACCACCTATCTTGTCTATCTGATTGTAAAACAAAGTGCAATTTTTAACTTTAGATTAAATCACTTGAAAGTTATTTTGTTGTATATATATGTACAACTATGTGATTGTAGCCCTCCTATAAGATGGTGACTACATGCACATTTATATACAATGTGTTTCAGGTAGAACGCACCATAGGATAGGGAATCGGCAATGTATTTTTTCGCGAAGGATCCACGAGGCCTTTACATCAGGCAAGTGCATAACGTACGTTAGTCGTTAACTTCAAATACATATCAAAGGCATCGTGCATCCTTCTCGAAAAATTACATATTCTGTTTGGCCATGGTGTGTTCAACATGGGACACACCGTATATAAAAATATGACTCGTAAATTACTCGTTTAATTATTAACCTCCAAACAGATTTTCGACGTCTCAAACGCGCAGGCTTATGTGATGTTATAATTGCAGTTAAAAACATATGTGATGATGTTTGCGGATATTAAAGTTGAACGTACCGAAGAAGAAGAAATAAACACATCCATTAGTGATGACGTTTTCCTTACTAACGATGTGTCTGCAAATATAAAGCAGGAACCTAATGATATATCGCACAGTGATTTTACTCATACTAAACAACCACCAAAACCAAAAAGCTTTAAATGTGCCCATTGTTATTATGCAACCAATATTAAATGTAATTTAGAAGTACATCTGTTGACTCATAAAACTTCGAACGTTTTTAAGTGTGTCCAGTGTAATTACGCAACTAATAATAAATACTGTTTTGAAGAGCATTTGTTAACACATGGAGGTTTTGAATGTGCCAAATGTGATTTTGTAACTAATACTGAATATAATTTTAAAAACCACTCGTTAATACATCAGATTTCAAAAGAATTTAAATGTAGCCAGTGTGATTACGTATCTAGTAGTAAAGGCTGTTTTAAAACTCATCTGTTAACACACAAAAGTTTGAAAGATATAAAATGTAACCAGTGTGACTATGTGACGAATAGTAAAGGTGGTATTAAAACTCTTGTGTTAATACACAAGATTTCCAAGGATTTAAAATGTGACCAGTGTGACTATGCAACTAATGATAAATACAGTTTTAAAAGCCATCTGCTAGTGCACGAGAGTTCCAAGAACTTTAAATGCAGTGATGGCGATTATGTAACCAATAAAAAATGTAGTATTAAATCTCTTCGTTTAATACACCCGATTTCCAAGCATTTAAAATGTAGACAGTGTGAGTATGCCACCAATAATAAAGTCCGTTTCAAAAATCATTTGTTAATACACAAAAGCTCTCAGGATTTTAAGTGTAGCCACTGCGATTACGTCACTAATTACCAACGGAATTTACAAAGGCATTTGTTAAAACACAAGATTTTCAAAGACTTTAAATGTAGCCAGTGCGATTATGGAACCAATTTTAAATACAAATTAAAATCCCACCTTTTAATACATCAACGTTGTAAGCGTTTGAAATGTAGCCAGTGTGATTACGAAACCAATAATAAGCGCAATTTTAATAAACATCTGTTAAAACACAAGATTTCCAAAGATTTAAAATGTAGCTAGTGTGATTACGAAACCAATTATAAAACCTTATTTAACAGACATCTGTTACAACACAAGACTTCCAAAACATTTTAAATTGTGCAATTAGGCAATTTTTTTAAAGACAATCTGGTAAGCTGATTGATGGAGCATAATGTTAGTTAGGTTAGTACCTACCTGTAAGTGTACCAATTGTAATTCTATGACTTTTGATTTTCCTGGTGTTATGGGTGCATCAATTGCAAACATGTAGCCATTAGACTCGCCAGCTGAGAAGGCCGGTCACAGAACACTTGATGCCGATCTACAATTGTATGCTTTAATATGAAAAGCATACGATTGTAGACCGGAATCGGGTTTCCGAGACCTGCATTTTCTCAATATAAATTACCCACAGATCGAAAGGAATACTATTCTATAACACTATAATTGGTTTAATAGGAGAATATTACTAATAACTTATCTGCGCGGTACTATAAACAAAGTTAAAGAGTAAAATGTTCTCATAGGATTAAGTCGATGTAAGTGTATCATCATGTTACATTTTTTTGTGTTTTTCTTTACTATTCTTAATGATTTGTAGTAATTAGGTATATTCATTTTATCTTTCTTTATTTTTTTATGTTCTAAATCTAATGCAGTAGGTATACGCTTCTATTTTTACTTTTATGATTGTTCATATATCATCAGTCTGTTGAACAATAAATATTATTAGCCATTTACAATTGTAAATGAGCATGTTACCTACAGATTTTAGGTTTGAGATCATCATTTAGAAATTGCAAATGTATGTATGCACCAATGAATAAAGTATGCACACGCAAATGATACGTCTACAATGCGATCAAAAATGAGTTGCACCTTTTGAATTTTTGAGGCGTTTACGATAATTGGAGGGGTATATAACGAGTGGTAAAGTCTTAAGCCCGTTTGTAACGTGATTATGCGATCCTTAAATCTGGAAATGTGCAATTAAAAATATTATTGGACAATGGTACATTGTAGTGCACGGAAGTGATAGCCAAACATTGAACTATATACTCTGTAACTGGAACGGCATCGAGCGCCGAAATCGCGTGCCGCAATGATTTTAGGCAACCAGCATAACGTAGGTATTCTCATCCTTGTATTGCATATGCAGGACCGATCACACGTATTTGGTTAAAAATACAGATAAGTAAATAAACTGGGAGGTTGGGGCCTTAGAAAGATAAAGATAAATGCTTGTCGATGCTTTTACAAGTGCCAATATCTGTTTGTTAATGGAATATCTTAAAATATATACTTAATAATGTGGTAAACTGCGCCATTTCTCACTCACACACTCACATACTTGATTCTTGAATCTTGAAGTTACAAAAGTACCGGGGATTCATTAGAAGTGATGAACGCTTGAATTTCGCGCGTAAGGTTTTAGTATTTTTTGCATTGTTAAGATTGACGGTTTGAATTTCGTTAGTAATTTTTTTCTGTCATGACTGACATTTAAGAAACCAGTGTCGCCGTTAATTGTTGTGTGCCATTTGCGGTTTATTACTTTTTCCATTTTGAACAATTTTTAGAGTTGCTGCACTAAAATATGTAAGAAACGTGACTGTGTCTAGGTTAGTTTATAATTTGTGGTGAAACAGAAGCAGTATTTGTAGATTATTAATAAGTAAACCAAACGATTTACTGAATGCATGATGATACACCACTGCAATTAAATAAATGATCTTCAGTTAGTACCAACTTCATAATTTTTTTGATTTGCGGGAAATTCAAATTGTCCTCATAGAACAACAAACTTAGAATGGAAACTGTAATGTAATGTAAAAATGACGCGCCATCTCGTGTATGTTCTCAGCAGCTTTTTGCGTGAATGGCGCCAAATTTAAATATTAAAATGTAAGCTACGTCCGCATGATACTGAATTTCTCCGGATCTGTAACAATAACATTGGATTTGACTAACTGAAACCTAAAAGGTAAATGAATCCAGCCAGTGAAGTCCAATTTTGTTTGTTAGGGGTCCAAATAAATTCAGTTTAATGCGGATGCACCTCACCAGTCAGGGCCTTCAAAGAGTACAGAGCACTTGTTTTATAAGTAACAACTCCAATTAATCCAATCAAGGAGTTATATTTAATTTAATATGATTATACAAGATACAAGATCAACTTCATGAAACTCTACTGTATGATGCTCTCGAGATCGTTCTAAAAACAAAATATGTAGCAATTTATTACAATTCAATTAGTGCTATCTGCTAAATATAATGTGCGAACTGCCATACGCTTTAAATCTCTTCGTGTTCCAGGTTCTAAAGCGCAGCCAGAAAAATGACGTTCACAAACCAAAAACTTTTGTGTAAATTTCTTCCACATTATATTCTAAACCAATTCTTAAAAACTTCGGGCTCCATTTTTGGGAAACGTCTTCACAATCTGTCACACAACATTTACGTTCTCGACTTGTATATGCATAATTCATTGTAATAATGAATAGTAATTATACTTAAAGCACAATAAGCCGTCAATCAAAATTCAAAATTCAACTGTCATAATGGCGCACAAGCACTAAAGTCACTAGATTTAGTAACTTTAACACGCCCGCTAACTATGCGCCATCTATTGAATGTTCTCCAAACTAACTATATCTGCACTCAGTTGTTCCCGTTTACGTTTCCCTTCTAAGTTTTTTGTTCTGGGATTGTCCTCACTTCTAATGAATAATGTCATTCATGGTGGCTCAACGCATTCCATTTGCTTATTAACGTAAAATAAAGTTAGAAACATTCGTTGTGTTCGTTTGTAACGTACCCTTTACATAATACTTATATTAGCAAGGAGGTAGGTACCTAATATATTACAATTGGCGTCGAGGTAAACGTAAATTTAAAAAAGCATTTTTTTAAGAATAATGAGTTTAAGAATCATGGTTACTCTAAGAGCAAAATTCAATTTACTCGCAGTGGTCACCGCATTGCCATTAGATGGAAACGAATTGACACGAATGTCTTATGCTGGTCTTATGGAACGAAGGCCGAAGGAATCGGTACTCGAATCGGTAGTAAATAAAAAAATCAATCGTTAAAGGTATTTTTCGCCCCATTAGTGAGCATTATCAATAATAACGTTGAGTGAAAAATTAAATAATAAGGAACTTCATATTCAAATTAGTAAGTCAAAACGGCTTTATAGGTTTTGGCGGCGCTAACGTTTTCTTCATATGATGCTCTGTAGAGAGTGGAATGCCCTATTGAATTAGTATTAAAGAGTGCGAAATAAGAATTATCATTCATAAGGACAGTATAAATGAGTGTGAGGTACTTTAGTAAAGAAATCTGAGCGGTGCAAATGCTGTCATATATATATTTGAATAAATTAGAATTTTCTCTCTCTCACAAAAATTCGCCACGGCCCCTGGCAATGGCTGATTACGGGCGATGCCGTTCCAGTTACAGAGTATATAGTTCAATGTAGCCAAAAAACACACGAAAGTAGGTATATCGTTTCACAGGTATAAATGATAGGTTAGTTTTCGGTCAAATAACAAACAAATGTGGGCTTCACTTTACTCACTCTTTCTTCTTTAAGGACGTACCTAAGACATCCATCGTGTCTGATCTAAAAGTAGTTTGCATTCGAAAATTGAGGGAAAGGGTTTCTTAACGCATGCGCAGTGTATGGATCGTCCTGGACGATTTAGACCTAAGTACACGTGGTGATGACTGATAAGTACATATCCGAGATTTTTCTAGTTGGTGTGATTAGACCCGACTGGTACCTCCTATACGTGAAGATGTCTGCAATTGTTAAAGTTGAACCTAAAAAAGAAGAAGAAATAAGTGCATACCTTAACGAAAATGTTTTTCTTACTAATGATGTCTCAACAACTATCAAGCAAGAATCTAAAGAGATCATGAACAGTGCCAATTATTCTAATGAATTGCACCAGGAAGAATCCATGTTTAAAAGTCATCTATTAACACACAAAACTTCAAAAGATATAAAATGTACTCAGTGTGACTTCACAACTAATTATAAATCCTGTTTAGTACGACATTTGCTAATACACAAGACATCTAAAGATTTAAAATGTAGCAACTGTGATTATGCAACTAATAGTGGTGTAAATTTAACAAACCATTTATTAAGACACAAAACGTCTAAGGATATAAAATGTGCACAGTGTGATTATTCAACTAACAGTAGTGTATATTTAACAAAGCATCTGTTAACACACAGAACATCCAAGGATATAAAATGTGACCAATGTGACTTTTCAACTCATTATAAATCTAGGTTAAATAGACATATGTTACTGCACAAGGTATCTAAAGATTTAAAATGTGCTCGGTGTGACTACACAACTAATTGTAAATATAGTTTAAAGAAACATCTGATCAAACACAAGACATCTAAAGATTTAAAATGTGCTCAGTGTGACTACTCAACAAATTTTAGTTATAGTTTAAAGAATCATCAGTTAACACATAAGTTTTCCAAAGATTTAAAATGTGCTCAGTGTGACTACTCAACCAATTTTAAAAATAATTTAAAGCAACATCTGTTAACACACAAAATTTCTAAACATTTCCAATGTGCCCAATGTAAGTATGCAACCAAGGGTTGTGCCAATTTTAAAATCCATCTAAAATGTGACCAGTGTGACTACAGATCTCATTATAAATCTAGTTTAAATAGACATATTATGTTAATACACAACACATCTAAGGTCTTAAAATGTGCTCAGTGTGATTATTCAACCAATAGTAAATTTGTTTTAGGGAGACATTTGTTTATACACAAGACGTCTAATGTTTTAAAATGTGCTCAGTGTGACTACTTAACCATTTGTAAATCTAGTTTACGAAAACATTTGTTAATACACAAAACATTTAAAGATTTAAAATGTAAACAGTGTAACTACTCAACCAATCGTAAATCCAGTTTAGTCAGACATACGTTAGTACACAAGACGTGTAAGATCTAAAATGTGCCCATTGTGAGTCAGTATAAGCAGGGTAAATTATATATATGTATGTATGTGGACCTCTAATTTGACCGTTGTGGTTTCGGAGACCCCCATTATTTATAGACATCCTTATCTTGGATTGAGTCTACTCTAATAAACAATTTGTGGCATACGTTACCTCGATTTGATCTATGTAGGTACATGTATAGTACCTATGGTATATTTTATTTTATTTATTTAATATATATATATATATATATATTATATATATATATATATATATATATATATATATATATAAAATTATATATTAGTTTATTAAATTCAATTGCTATTATACTTACATAGTTAAATGTATGTATGTACATATTCTGTAAAATCCCATACATTAGACATAGGTATGTAAATTGCATTGGAGGGAATTATTGGACAAAACTCTATAAGGCTTGGGAGTTTATAAGATCTTGATTGGTGAAAATTTGGAAAATGTGATTCTTGCTGGCGAAGGAGATGATGAAATGGGTAATAATGGATAATAATTCAAGTGTTCGTGCTGGGCTTCCTTTTGACTTAAATTCGTTATCAAATGAGATGAGGCGGTGTTCCAAAATTTTAGATTTACAAGAGAGTATCTTGGTAGGTTAAGACATCTCCTTATACCTAAAACAATTGTCACAAATGCTGGAAATACCTACCATAGATGGTAAGTATTTAATATAAACAGAAAAAACCTATTTTGTATTGTATTTATTTTTGGGACTATTAGGCGTATTCGTTTCTGATGATCTTGACAGTTTGGCGTGTGTTATTACTTCGCATAACCTAAAAAGAAATTGACTCGTTGATTATAGTTTTTTTGCGGTAATATTGTTCATTCAATTCATTTAGAATTCATATTAAAAGAATTCTTGTTAATAAAATAACGAATAAACATTATTATTAGTATTATTAAATATGCGGTACGTTGAACCATTGATTATATACACTATCGTATATAATCAATGGTTGAACCAAAGAGTATGAACTTTATTTGTACAGGAAACTGATTCAGAAGGTATTCGACAGGTATACTACTGCTGATACAGTTCTTAAATATCCGATAAAAAGTAAACAAAGGTTATGATTCCAGTTTTCTGATGTTATGTTAATTGAAGTGAGAACTGTAGGGAGACGACAATGTATTTTTTCGCGAAGGAACCACGAGGCCTTTGTATGATGCATCAGGCAAGTGCAATAACGTACGTTGAACGCTAACTTCAAATAGATATCATAGGCATCGTGCATCCTTCGCGAAAAAATACATTAATTCTGTTTGGCCATGGTGTGTTCAACATGGGACACACCGTATATAAAAATATACCTTGTAAGTAAATTTAATTATTGACCTCCAAACGAGTTTTCGACCTTAGAGCTACATATTTTCGACCGTCTCAAACGAGCAGGCATAATAAAATGTGATGTTATAATTAAATAAATGCACTTAAAAACATATGTAATCATGTTTGCGGATATTAAAGTTGAAGGTACAGAAGAAGAAGAAATAATCACATTCATTAGTGATAAGGTTTTCCTTACTAACGATGTCTCTGCAAGTATAAAGCAAGAACCTAATGATATATCGAACAGTGATTTTACTCATACTAAACAACCACCAAAATCAAAAAGCTTTAAATGTGCCCATTGTTATTATGCAACCAATATTAAATGTAATTTAGAAGTACATTTGTTGACTCATAAAACTTCGAACATTATTAAATGTGTCCAGTGTAATTACGCAACTAATAATAAATACTGTTTTGAAAAGCATTTGTTAACACATGGAGGTTTTGAATGTGCCAAATGTGATTTTGTAACTAATACTGAATATAATTTTAAAAACCACTCGTTAATACATCAGATTTCAAAAGAATTTAAATGTAGCCAGTGTGATTACGTAACTAGTAGTAAAGGCTGTTTTAAAGCCCATCTGTTAACACACAAAAGTTTGAAAGATATAAAATGTAACCAGTGTGACTATGTGACGAATAGTAAAGGTGGTATTAAAACTCTTGTGTTAATACACAAGATTTCCAAGGATTTAGAACGTGGCCAGTGTGACTATGCAACCAATGATAAATACAGTTTTAAAAGCCATCTGCTGATGCACGAGACTTCCAAGAACTTAAAATGCAGTGGTTGTGATTGCATAAGCAATAAAAAATGTAGCATTAAATCTCTTCGTTTAATACACCCGATTTCCAAGCATTTAAAATGTAGACAATGTGAGTATGCCACCAATAATAAAGTCCGTTTAAAAAATCATTTGTTAATACACAAAAGCTCTCAGGATTTTAAGTGTAGCCAGTGTGATTACGTCACTAATTACCAACGGAACTTACAAAGGCATCTGTTAAGACACAAGATTTTCAAAGACTTTAAATGCAGCCAGTGCGATTATGGAACCAATTTTAAATACAGATTAAAATCCCACCTTTTAATACATCAACGTTCTAAGCATCTGAAATGTAGCCAGTGTGATTACGCAACCAATTATAAGAGCAATTTTAATAAACATCTGTTAATACACAAAAGTTCTAAAGATTTACAGTGTAGCCAGTGTGATTACGCCACTCATAATAAACTCAATTTAAAAATGCATCTGTTAAATCACAAGATTTCCAAAGATTTAAAATGTAGCCAGTGTGATTACGAAACCAATAATAAGGGCAATTTTAATAAACATCTGTTAAAACACAAGATTTCCAAAGATTTAAAATGTAGCCAGTGTCATTACGAAACCAATAATAAGGGCAATTTTAATAAACATCTGTTAAAACACAAGATTTCCAAAGATTTAAAATGTAGCCAGTGTCATTACGAAACCAATAATAAGGGCAATTTTAATAAACATCTGTTAAAACACAAGATTTCCAAAGATTTAAAATGTAGCCAGTGTCATTACGAAACCAATAATAAGGGCAATTTTAATAAACATCTGTTAAAACACAAGATTTCCAAAGATTTAAAATGTAGCCAGTGTCATTACGAAACCAATAATAAGGGCAATTTTAATAAACATCTGTTAAAACACAAGATTTCCAAAGATTTAAAATGTAGCTAGTGTGATTACGAAACCAATTATAAAAACCCTATTTAACAGACATCTGTTACAACACAAGACTTCCAAAACATTTTAAATTGTGCAATTAGCCAATTAGGCAATTTTTTAAAGACAATCTGCGTAAGCTGATTGATGGAGCATAATGTTAGTTAGGTTAGTACCTACCTGTAAGTGTACCAATTGTAATTCTATGACTTTTAATTTTCCTGGTGTTATGGGTGCATCAATTGCAAACATGTAGCCATTAGACTCGCCAGGAGAGAAGACCGGTCACAGAACACTTGATGCTGATCTACAATCGTATGGTTTACTATGAAAAGCATACGATTGTAAACCGGAATCGGGTTTTCCGTGACCTGCATTTTCTCAATATAAATTACCCACGATACTATAACACTATAATTGGTTAAATAGGAGAATATTATTAATCTGCGCGGTACTCAATAAACAAAGTAAAAGTTAATACAAGAGTAAAATGTTCTCATAGGATTAAGTCGATGCAAGTGTATCATCATGTTACATTTTTTTGTGTTTTTCTTTACTATTCTTAATGATTTGCGGTAATTAGGTATATTCATTTTATCTTTCTTTATTTTTTTATGTTCTAAATCTAATGCAGTAGGTATACGCTTCTATTTTTACTTTTATGATTCTTCATATATCATCAGTCTGTTGAACAATAAATATTATTAGCCATTTACAATTGTAAATGAGCATGTTACCTACAGATTTTAGGTTTGAGATCATCATTTAGAAATTACAAATATATGTAGGTATGCACCAATGAATAAAGTATGCACACGCAAATGATACGTCTACTATGCGATCAAAAATGAGTTGAACCTTTTGAATTTTTGAGGCGTTTACGATAATTGGAGGGGTATATAACGAGTGGTAAAGTCTTAAGCCCGTTTGTAACGTGATTATGCGATCCCTAAATCTGGAAATGTGCGATTAAAAATATTATTGGACAATGGTACATTGTACGTAGTGCACGAAAGTGATAGCCAAAAAACACACGAAAGTATATCGTTTCACAGGTATAAATGATAGGTTAGTTTTCGGTCAAATAACAAACAAATGTGGGCTTCAGCTTCACTTTACTCACTCTTTTTTCTCTAAGGACGTACTAAGACATCCATCGTGTCTCTAAAAGTAGTTTGCATTCGAAAATTGAGGGAAAGGGTTTCTTAACGCATGCGCAGTGTAAGGAACGGCCTGGACGATTTAGACCTAAGTACGCGTGGTGATAAGTAACCGAGATTTTTCTAGTTGGTGTTGATTAAACCCGACTGGTACCCCCTATACGTGAAGATGTCTGGAATTGTTAAAGTTGAACCTAAAAAAGAAGAAGAAATAAGTGCATACCTTGACGAAAATATTTTTCTTACTAATGATGTCTCAACAACTATCAAGCAAGAATCTAAAGAGATCATGAACAGTGCCAATTATTCTAATGAATTGCACCAGGAAGAATCCATGTTTAAAAGTCATCTATTAACACACAAAACTTCAAAAGATATAAAATGTACTCAGTGTGACTTCACAACTAATTATAAATCCTGTTTAGTACGACATTTGCTAATACACAAGACATCTAAAGATTTAAAATGTAGCAACTGCGATTATGCAACTAATAGTAGTGTAAATTTAACAAACCATTTATTAAGACACAAAACGTCTAAGGATATAAAATGTGCACAGTGTGATTATGCAACTAACAGTAGTGCATATTTAACAAGCATCTGTTATCACACAGAATTTCCAAGGATATACAATGTGACTTCGCAACTCATTATAAATCCTGTTTAGTACGACATTTGTTAATACACAAGACATCTAAAGATTTAAAATGTAAGCAGTGTAACTACTCAACCAATCGTAAATCCAGTTTAGTCAGACATACGTTAGTACACAAGACGTGTAAGATCTAAAATGTGCCCATTGTGAGTCTTCCAGTCAGTATAAGCAGGGTAAATTATATATATTTTATTTTTATTTGTTGCCTTTATTTTATAGTGGGCGGAGTGTTAGCAATTTGCTACTCTTCCCACTCAACCCATTATACAATCACAAAC